GTTAGAATGCATGTATTACCTTTTTTCTGGGCTCACCTATAATCACTTAAAATGAATTATTATCAGTCTCTACCAAAAGGTGATATTGTTAACAAAGGATTGTCCACCCCATTTTTTGTTCCATCATTATCCCTCTAAACAATGTATTTTCCTAATACATGCATTGAATCAATACATCAAATGATAATATACAAATTGATTAAATACATATATTTGAAGAATCCCAACCCAACCTCCAAACATGGCCTTAGTCTACCTTTTAATAGCGCCAGTATGGCACATAGATCATAGCTTTGAATTTGGTCAATATGGGATTTGAATAGTGGACAACTTGATGAATAATGTTTCAATGAGTATTGAACAAAATTAAGCCCCCGTTTCTCATGGCTGAACTTATCAATTAAGGTGATTGATTCAACTCAATTTAAACCAAGAATTCCACCACGTCAAAAGGATCTTTAAATTTCCACAAGAGAAGAAAAGAGAGAGAAAAAAAAAATGAAGAATAAGGATCTTAAAGGTAAAAATAGCAACACGATTTCTCTTTATAATACCCCACTCTTTTCTACTGATCCATCCAAAACCAGTAGCAAAAATCATTGTTTCATTATCACCAAATTGGAACAACATTTTCTTAGTTGAATACTAGCAAGTAACCTCACATCAATCGATCTGTCGAGCAACGGAGACATAAAAAATTAATGACGATGAACTTACTAGTCGTGGCGGTTTGCCTGTGTGAACTAATTGCTACGGAAGTTGAAGCATCACCCAACAACCCGATAGCCCATTTTCCATGGCTACGTAACGTCAAGATTAGGTACTCGGTATTACCAAAAAAAAAGATTAGGTACTCGGTCCCCGTGATCAACTACGACGTTTTAGAAAAGGGTGCAGTCCCTTGCAGTGGAGAAAAACCTTGCCCCAAGATACCGGCGAACCCATACGACAGAGGTTGCTCGAGAATTCTTCATTGTCGTACTGGACACAATCCGAGGAAAGCTTCTGTCAACGATAATATTGGTCGGAGAAATGGAGGTCTAGCTGTGCAAATACTAGATGGTAACCATCACGATGGTAACCAACATGTCAATGGGAGGATGACAGGCACCAATAGCGACGAAAGGGTTTACATGTACGTGAAGAAAGACACGCGTAAACATGACAACAAAATGGGTAGAAAGCTTATGGCGAACATGATGATGCGAGAAGATCATTAATAACGATTAATCTAAGGTTAGGAAATAATAGGCTAGCGAATGGTTGTTGATTTTAGACATTTAGTGTATAATAAACATTTCATGATTTTTAATTAATTTTAGAAAATCATGCACTTTTTTTTGGTTTTTTTTTGTTCTTGCTATTTTGTCCATGCTAGTTCAGAACTTCAGATATTTGGTAGTAATTCTTTCTTCCTAACAGAAGAAAAATAAGAAGTCAATGTCTTTTTTATCCTCTTTTTTTCTTCTATTGGCAGCATCAACACATGACCAAAAGCTTGTCAAAAAAAAAAAAACACATGACCAAAAGAAAAGTGAAATGAATACTTACTAAAGCATCGCCATTTCATCCAAAGATGAAAGAGATCCGAGGTTCACTAGCACTTCACTCTATAGTACTCCACTTTTTCGTTGGTTGTTGACACCAAAGTTCGCTTTTGGAGTGAGATTGAGAACTTTATTAGTGACTGTTTAAACTGTTTTGGTTTCTACTTTCACGGTATCTATTTTGCCACCCCAAACCCATATGTTTTGGACTATAGTCATGGGTATATATGATGAATGAGAAGAAGGAAGATGGTAAGTTGAAACCTCTAACCCTAAAATGCCATAAATGTTGCTACGATATCATAGTCTAGTTAGGATTGTTATTATTTCCTTCTCGTTCTAGATGGGCGGAATGCCCTAATGCATAATATTAATAGAACGAGTCATGGTTGTTTTCATGAAATCATACATCAACCGATGTTTAAGATTGGGATGGTACACATTGAACTGATGCTCAATTGTACACATTGAACGGATTGTTATTATTTACTTCTCATATTTCGTTTTTCTTCCTTCCTTCGTCTTAACATTTTCACTCATGGAAAAAAGAAAAACGAAAACTAAAACTAGCAACGAAAATGAAAAACACAAGTGTAGGAGGATCTTCGTGAAACACAAATTGACCAATAATTAAAGCTCGAGTGTCAATAAAACTCTCCTCCCTTGCTCAAATGACGTTACAGAACTAGATATATTAACTAGCTAATTTTGACTAACTGCTGCATAATTTATTAGTGGGTCTCTAATTAAGCATGTTTCTTTTACCATATACTCTAATTAAGCACATTGGTCACTAGTTATTATATAATAACTAGCTAGATAAGACCTGCAAAACCATAATGGTCGAACGTTTCTTCACATTAATAAAGAATTATGATTCTTTTCAGTTTAATCTATATATAGATATAAATATTTCCCCCTTCAACTGGCCACCAAAAACAGCACCCGAAAAGCTTATTAGTTTTTCTTACCCTATTGCTCGTATAGTAATTCTATCACAACCGAAAACAATGGTGACGACCAAATTAGCGACGGCTTTCGTCGTCGCCGCGCTCGTGTGTGCAATAATGGTGACAGGGCAAGAAGGCGACGCCGGCGGCGGGTGGCTTCACTATCCAAGCTTGGATCCAGGTGTTATTCCTTGCAACGGTAGACAGGACTGCCACGATATCCCGGCGAACCCTTACCAAAGAGGTTGCGAGGAACTGAACAGGTGTCGTGCTGGTCACCACTAAAAATGACCTTTTAGTCACGGGGGAGAATATATATATATAGATTGGATTACTACACTTCTTGTGTATTGATTGATTTCTTAATTATATTATCTTTCTCGCATTTCACATGGAAAATAAAACTAGAGTTAGAGTACTATTTGGTATCGCATAACTTGTAGCTAAATAGCATGTACGTGATCATCATGATCATGTCTAGCTTAGCTTGGATGCAAGATTGATTGGTTTATTTAAAAGAATTTATTCTGGTTTCCGTAGTGACTTTGTTGCAGATCGAGCGAACGATAACGTGGAAATTGAATAATCGACTTTAATATATATGTTCGTACTAAAAGAAGAAAATATTCGATGAATATATATAATAGAATACAATAAGATTTTCTCAGTTGACAACAACTCCTATTTTTTTATTACCCAGTAATCTCAGCCCAACGTGTCAATTTGTGACGGGGTTTCGCTCCCAGCAGCCTTGTACCTTCGGGAACACCAACGAACCTCGCTTGAATTCGAACCTGAGATCTGCAACTCTCAAACCTTCACTGTCGCGGCAACTTTACCGTGAGACTATCTTACCTTTGGTAGTTTACTACTCCATTGGTTCAAATGATCCAGCTCCTTAAGCCTCCACATCAGCAAGGCATTTAGCTAATCAGACCTTTTTTTTTAGTTTTTAGTAATTGGGTGACATGTCACCATCGAAGAACAAGTTAGGAAACCACGAATCATCGGTTGTTTTCAGAATGTGCAATGTTGTGCTTGGACAAGGCGGCGAGGCAGGATCCAGGAAATCTGGGAGGTGGCTGGTCACCAATGTGTGCTAAGCTAGCTAGCTTCATTAATGAAGCTCTTACTCACTGTATCTCATTAATGGCGTTTGGATCGGATCGAACACATGCAGCACCAGTACAAATTGTACCTTGTATGTTCCTTTAGACCATGAATGCTCACTCACTAGTCACTGGTCAGTACATTGGGTACGTAGGGTCTAGAATAGATGATCATGGCGGTACAGTTTCCATATGATCATAAAAGGGTTTCCCATCAATCTTGCTGTTTGTTGACTGCTAGCCCTTCAATTTTGGCAAGTTTGACCTGTCGTTTCTTGCACTTGCCCATAACGCTTTTTCTTATATATAATTGGATGACGACGATCGAGTTGGGGTTGGATGGCTCCTCTTGTTGCATGTGCCATATTGATCTTTGCATGCATTGCAGTTTGGAGATATAACGGCGGAAGAAGGGTAGTAGTTAGTTGAGCTAATTAATTATTAGGGTTTTAGGTTCAGCCGAATTCAGGGCCAGATTTCCACCAAACCAAGTACCAAATACCGGAATCTCGAATATCAAATAGTGTTCTTAATTCAATTTCAATTTCAATCCCAAACTAAATTCCGCATCTCAATTTCATTTTCTAATATTTTGTACGGTATCGGTATATACCAAATTAAACTCCTTCAAAATTACCCATCGAATTTGTAAAACAAATAATTCTGCTCTGCCAACCGCTCAAGAAACGAGTCTCAAAATAAATTATTGGTAACAATAGTGCGAACACTCGTGCAAATCAAAGGTAAAAAAAAAATCAAGTGTAATAACAACAAACTAGGAAAAGTGTGGGGGCCTAAGAAGTACAGTAGCAAATTAAAGCAACAAACTGAAACATGTAACTCCTAATTGCCTAAGCATCACATAAACATGCTACAAATAACGAAATGAGTTTGGTCTGGGTTGTCAAATAGTGAGGGATGTGTTTATGTGTAATAAAGTGGACATATTGGCGAGTGAGGGTCTCGTAGCAGGGAGTGAAGAGCCTAGTTGGGAGAGATAAAAATACGTACTAACTTATATTTCGATATTCACCAATATTTCGTTAAATATCAAACCCAATCATGTATACCAAATAATACTTAAAAATTCAATCACAATACGAAATAATACGTGTATTCGATAATCCCAAATATCCCCAATATCGATACCGGACTTCGAAACCTACAACCCATCATCTACTACACGTAGCATCTATCACTAAACGAGAATAACGTTCCCACCCCATTTGCCTCCTGATAGTGAAATCGCTAATCTTTTCATCGTAGGTAATATTGGTCCTAGAAACTTTCCATTCAAAGTGAATTGGTAGCTTTCATTGCATTACTGGACCACCAATTAACCATTGTAGTCGAGTTGGGCTTGGGCTATTCACGTACTTAAAACCAACCCCCTAGCCATCAGGGCCCAGGGGCCCACCCTTCCAATTAAGGTAATAAGGCATCTTGTTTTTTGCAATCACCCACTTAACACCAATTAATCAAATCTATGTATATTAATAATTACGACAAAGGCACAACCCAACATTACATTGCCGGAGCTAAATTCATCATGATTTCTCGATAACGACACATCATCATCCCATCCACGACATTGATCGATAATCCCGACAAATATGTATATGATTAGTACGCTGGCTCGATGATTGATTATGATTCTAATGACGATCATCATCATCATCCTGGTCATGGCATGTAGAGCTTATTGCCGCACTTGCACCTCCACGCTTCAGGGTAATACTCCGCCGTTACCGGCGTCCCCGGCGGCACCGGCACGTGCACCGGCTTGCACGGCGTGCACTTCCCGCACTTCGACATGCACCGCGGCGGCGACGATCCCGGCCCGCCCAGCAACCTCCTAGCAAACGACGTCGTCCAGCCTTCCACCTTCGTGGATTCCTGTACAATTTGGTTCATTCACACAACCGTTACTAATGTTTGTTTTTTCCAACTCTTTTTGGTTCTGGTCAAAACGTGAGCACTGGTGGCGCACGTTACCGAGACAAGTCACGGTAAGGCGACAAGTGGAGTGGATAAGCGGGGCAGACTAACATGCGCCAGATGGTGCGCTACGCTTCACTCTGAGGAGGAAGGAGCGCTGACCACTGGATGGGCCTTCGTCCTAATCGGACGGTGGAGGAAGAATTAAATTGCCAACAAAAAAAAAAAAAAAAACAGAGCAAGCGAGGGGAATAGTAGTGAACAGAGTAGGGTTGCAGGGGGGCGCAGTGGGTTGTTTTTGGACCGTACCAATTGCCTCTGTTTGGTGACCAGGAAAAGACGAGAAAAATGACAGAGAGGAGAGAAACAGAAAACAAAAAAGGAGCTGACCGGCAGGCAGGACAAGACTGTTTCTTGGTGGGGGAGGGAATTCACTTCACTGTAATTCACCAGTAAAGTTTCAATCTTTGGTAACAGAGAGCAATTACGGTTGAATCAGAGGAGTAGTACTAACCTGAAAACACGAATCGGGGGAAGCAGAGAAGGGGCACCTGGTGCCTGCAATTTTACCCACATTCAGTAATGAAATAAGAAATTTTCAGTTACAGAGTATGAGAACAGAGAACAGGTCACATTTCCTGCCGTTTCTGTTTTGCATCGTCTTCCATAAAAGGAGTGCCCTCATTTAATTTCGGAATTCAATTAACAGAGTAAATGAAGTAGTTGTGAGTTGGGGAGGAGAGGGAAGTACCAGGAGAAGACAGAGTGTTACTGTAGAACAAGAAGAAGGTGATGATGCAGAAACAGAGCAATGCTCCTCTGCAGCAGCTGTTGCTTATATAGCTTCTTCTTCTTCTAGACAATGATGACGATGATGATGATGATGACCCTTTTCTGTTCATTGCATCCATGGAAGACTGGCAACCAGCAGCAACAACTTCTGAAGTTTTCTTTAGACAGCCTTTCTGTTGGGGTTTGACTGATGCAGGGCAGTGCAAGATAGCACCTTTTTTTTTCTTGTTCAACAGAGAAACTTCGGATGTGGGTTTATGGTTTATGAATCAAGAGATTGTGTCGATGATGGATATATAGAAAGAGAGAGAGAGAGAGAGGGTGACTGGAAAAGGGGAAACCCCAAAAGAGAGTTTTTACAGAGGAGAAGAAGATGACAATGGGGGGGAAGGAGGGAGAATGAGTGGGGGGAAGGAAGGGTGTGTTCCTAAGCAATTACCATGTTTGGGGTTGAAAGAATTGGTTGCAGCTTTTGCCTTTGCTTCACTGTCTGCTCTCTACCGAAAGGCTAAAACCTCCCCATTTCATTCCCAAACCCAGCAGCAATGCCAAAATTCTCTAACGCACACGTTCTGCCTCTGTTTTTTCACTGTGAGGCTCTCTGGACTGGAGGCAGAGAAAACAGGGGAAGGGGGTCTCTGCCGCTTTTCTGCCACCAAATTTGACACCTTACCATCCCCCACTCCCACCTCCCTCCCTCTTCTTTCCACTCAGTCGCTCGCCACCTCGCCCGCCCTTCTCTTCCCTTATATACCCCCTATTCCTGCCTTTATTTCTCCCTTTGCAAATTTGTTAATAGGATGATCTAAAGGTACTAGGTCTAGGCCATGGCATGGTTAAAGTTAATGATCTTATAAGATATTTTGCACTAAAATCTATGACTTGATGAGCTAATTATATCCTTCGTCAAGCATATTGTCCAAATGTAGTATTCCAAAGGACAATGAGAAGGGGGTTCTCATTGGATAGAAGTTTTGACAAGATCGAGGCAATCAGAGAAAAGAACGGATTCAGATTTTGTTGTCACAAATCTACCAACCAATGGTTGTCCTTCGACATGGCCAATGGCCATGGAGATGTTATGCATCACTGGAAGCTATCAAAAGAATCATGCATCTAGAGGAAAGGATTATGATCTCTTTCATCAACCGTCGAAACAATAAGTGTGCTGATTGGGTGGCAAAGGATTGTCGTCTTGATGCTCTGCATCATGATTGGATTCATGTGCTCAATGTTATATCTGATTTGTTGTAATCGTGGCTATCTTCAATTGGAAATGAATGAATGAAAGTGTTATTAAAAAAAAGCTCATCTTCAATAAAAGTTGTAATACATTTAGCCATCAATAAGGATATACAAGAGTGAATGTGTAACTGAGAATCACTCAGACGGTGGACGTGGTTGAGAACGAGTGCTCGTTGGCCAAATATGAAAATAGTAATGTCAAATGCGTAAAGAGCCTTGTCATCCGCCATTGAAAGTAAGTAAAACGCGGAAGGAAACGAACACACGATTTACGTGGTATCCCTGTTCGATGTGAGCAGGACTAATCCACGAGAGCAAGCTCCGGCTGAAGTTTCACTAAGCTGCAGCAAATATGGTTGCGCCGTGCACAATGATACAACCATCGGCTAGAGCACAAGAATTTATACCCTTCGACAATATTCTAGGGCAGCTCTAGCTCATGTGGTTAATTACAAAATAATACTGTAATTAATTAAATATGGGTAATTAATCACAGTAATCCCAATAATCTCAATACTCCCACTCAAGCCGAAGCATGAAGATCACGAATGCCAAGCTTGGACAAGAGGAAATGGAACTGATCCGTGCCTAAAGCCTTGGTGAAGATATCAGCAGGCTGGTCAGCAGTAGCAACTTTATAAGGTGCAACCTCACCGGAGATGACACGCTCACGAACAAAATAACAATCCATCTCCACATGCTTAGTACGCTCATGGAAGACTGGATTCGCAGCAATAAGTGCCGCAGCCATATGATCTCACTAACAGCTGGATTCTCCACATGCTCAGAGAAGTGGAGTCGCGGACAGCTGAGGAACCCCCAACTCCATCAATAAGTGCCGCAGCCATATGATCTCACTAACAGTGCTGGCCATGGCACGATATTCAGCTTCGGCAGAGGAACGGGCAACGACACGTTGCTTCTTCGTGCGCCAAGACACCGGGGCGGAGCCCAACTGGATGTAGTAGCTAGTGGTAGACCGTCGTGTGGCCTGACAACCTGCCCAATCCGAATCGCAAAAAGCTGTCACTTCCAAAGAACCAGAAGAAGGAAAGAACAAACCTTGACCAGGAGCTGTCTTTAAGTAGCGCAGAACGCGTAGAGCAACTGTCATGTGGTCGGGACTAGGAGCATGTACATGTTTACTGAGCACATTAACGGCATACGCAATGTCAGAATGGGTAACAGTGAGGTAAAAAAGACGCCCAACAAGGCGCCGATAAGAGTTGACGTCCGAGATCACGTCTGTAGCAGGCCGAGTAAGAATGTGGTTCTGCTCCATGGGAAAACGACTTGGTTTGGCACCGGTCATACCTGCATCTTTCAGGATGTCAAGGGTATATTTGCATTGACTAAGCACTATCCCATCCGGAGAACGCGCCACCTCAATCCCCAGAAAATATTTTAAGGGACCAAGATCCTTAATGCTGAAACGAGAGTCCAAAAAACTCTTCACCTGAGAAATAAAAGTGGCATCGTTACCAGTAAGAACAACATCATCCACATAAATGAGAGCCGCAACAAAGGAGTCACCCTTGCGGTACAAAAAGAGAGAGTGGTCAGCTCGTGATGCAGTGAAACCGAGCTCAGCAAGGGCCAGAGTGAACTTCTGGTACTAGTTGCGGGAAGCCTGACGCAACCCGTACAATGATTTACGCAAGCGACAAACCCGGGTATCGCCTTCTTTCTGAAAGCCAAGAGGTACTTTCATATAAACCTCCTCCTGAAGGTCACCATGCAGAAAAGCATTGTTGACGTCCAGTTGATGCAAAGGCCAACCACGTTGCACGACCAGGGCAATCAGAACACGAACAGTACTGACCTTGGCCACAGGAGCAAACGTGTCATGGAAATCAACCCCCTCTAACTGAGTGAAGCTCTTAGCAACCAGTCGAGCCTTAAATCGCTCTATGGACCCATCCGGGTGATACTTGATTTTGTATACCCATTTGGAATCAATCACCCGCTTACCGGGAGGGAGGTACTCCAAAGTCCACGTCCCGTTAGCCTCTAATGCCAAAATTTCCTTTTGCATTGCGTCACGCCAATAAGAGTGACAGACTGCTTCTCGGAAATGACTTGGTTCCTCGAGCTTTGAGATGGCAGCAAGAAATGCATTGTGCGATGGAGTAAAGCGATCATAATGTACATGATTCGCTATGGGATAAGTGGCGGCATGTGAGTGACTACTGGGCAGCTCAGTCTCATATATATCAAGCTTTGACGGAGGACGGCGATCACGAAGAGCGCGACGAGGGGCAACTGGTGGGTCCGAAGGAGCAGAGGATGTTTCGGCAGCAGGCTGCTCTTCACTGGTCTCGGCAGCAGGCTGCTCTTCATTGGCCTCGGCAAGCAAGCTGCTCCTCGCTGGACTCGGGGGCAGGAGATGGCGAGGACACTGTCGTGGGAGAAGTCGGGCTAAAACTGGCAGCCAGCTCGAGTTCCTCATCATGCTGCTCACTATCGGCGACCAGCAAGTCAAGTGAAGGCTCCCCCTCAATGAAAGCCGAGGGAGAAGAAGTAGTATCCAAACGTGACGTGGCATTCTTCCCGATAGTGGTACCAAAGGTAAACTCACTCTCCACGAAGAACACGTCGCGTGAAGTATAGATACGGCGAGTGGTTAAGTCATAAACCCCGTAAACTTTCTGAGCAAGAGGGTACCCTACAAAAACACATCGCCGTTCTCGTTCAGCGAATTAATCAAGACCTTGCTGTGTATCTTTAGCATATACGAGGCATCCAAAAGTGCGAAGATCATACGAGGGAACACGTCCAAGAAGAACTTCAAAAGGTGTTTTGTTGTCCAAAACAGAAGACGACAGCCTATTTATCAGGTAGGTTGTTGTTAGAACACATTCACCCCAAAATCTTACCTGAAGTCCCGCATGAAACCGCAGAGCTCTCGCTGTCTCTGTCTCTAATAAATTACGGTGCTTGCGTTCAGCTACACCGTTTTGCTGAGGAGTGTTCACACATGATGTCTGTAGGTGGATCCCATGCTCAGCATAGTAGTCACGGAGTGAATTCGTTTGGAATTCAAGGCCATTATCCGACAGTATCCTGCGAACCTGTGCCTGGAATTGCGTACGAACCATCTCACAAAACATACGAATATGCCGCTCAGCATCAGATTTATACCTCAGAAGATAAACCAAGGTAGTACGACTATAGTCGTCTACCACATTCAGAAAATAATGTGACCAGTCCATGGAAGGAGTCTTGTAACCACCCGAAAGATCCATATGAATCAACTCAAAACAACCAGTGGTCTTAATACAACTGGACTGAAAAGGAGTACGCGTCTGTTTAGCACGCAAACAAGAATCACAATGTGACTTGAACCAACTGTGTTCCTGATAATGAAGAAAAATTTTCAAAGCAGACAGCTTCTCGAGAGCAGGGTGTCCCAGACGATGATGCCAGAGTTGCTGGCTAATCGGCTGCGCAGCCGCCATTGCAAGCCTCGGTGCTCCCCCTTGCTGCAACACCTCCTCTCTCGGCAAGTAAAATAATCCGTCACGGAGGCGACCCAACCCAATCACGGTCTTGGAGTGTGAGTCCTGGATGACACACACATTTTCAAGAAAAGTAGAGCCACATTATTATCTTTGATCAACCGACTGACAGATAATAAGTTGCACTTGAACTGGGGAACATGTAGTACGCGATGCAATGTAAGCTACGAATTTAACACCAATGAACCAATGCCCTCTACCGGTATATACTTGCCATTATGCGAACAGGAGAATGAGCATGGGAAAAGCGTTGCTTAAGATCAATCCAGATTTCTTGAGCTGTGCGAGCCGCCCTAACGCTGTTCCGAACCTCTTTCGTCATAGCTGTCTTCAACCATCCTTTTACCATTGCATCACACTAGTCCCAAGCATCTTCCTTAGCTCGAGAATCCGCAACCGAACGTGGCAAAGACCCGTCGAAAAAACTCATCTTCTTCTTCGCAATAAGTATCTCGGTCATATCATTGACCCATTCTCCATAATTGGAGTCGGAAAGGGGATCACCGCCAAAAGACTGGCCAGGGTTCTCCGATGGATGTAAGTAGAATGGGGAGTTGTGCGGGATGGTGTCCAGGTTAGGGGTGGCTATACGATCCGGTCCGGTTAAATTGGCCCAAATTGATCCGGTCCAGTCCGGTTTTTTTGAAAATATAAGGACCGAAGATTGGATTGGATACAGTCCGGTCTTGATCCGGTCCGGTCCCAATTCGGTCTTGATTTTATATTGAGATTGTGGGAATTTGAGTGGCCTAAAGCCTAAAAGGGTGAGGAGTTGGTTAAGTTTTGTACTAAGTGCAAAGGTTTGTGACCGTTTATGCAAATTACCCTTAAGTTTTGGGTGTTGAGCTCTCTTATCCGGTCTTTATCCGGTTTTTTACCTCAAATCTAAGCCCAAAGATTGGATTGGATTGTTTACTATCCGGTCCCGGTCCGGTCTCAGTCCGGGTTATACGGTCCGGTTTCCGGTTTTTCATCCAGTCCCGGTCCAAATAGCCAGCCCTAGTC